AGCCTGCTTGAGACGCCAAATAAAAATAAGATACTGGCTTCAAGAAATGATGTAATGGGGAGTGACTCACTGGTACCTCCTCCTGCAATACCGAGACTTGAAAATAACCAAGACAGAACCAACAGTGAAGTGTCAGAGGCAATGGCTGGAATGTCTTTGGATCCCAACAGTTCCGAGCTTAAGGTTCAGGATGGTCAGAAACCAGTGTTCTCATCTGCCACAGGAAATTCCACCAGGGGACTCTTCCTTTCTGGGTAAGTTAAAGATATCTGCAGCACTGTCATGAGTGTGTAGTTTCTGGATGTTTCTCTGGAGTCTTCTGTGTAGATTGCACTGATCCAGTGTCAATAAGGGTGTCCAAAAAAAATGATTTGATCTGTCCTATTTGATCTGTTTAAGACTCAAAACCATGTTAATAGAATGAAAGACCTAACTGGTCTTGACCCTCCCCTGCAGCACTTACCTTGACTAGCCACAGCCCAGTATACCAGCATTCCTCCCTCCAGTTTAGGGTTTGGTGATTGATATGCTCAGTCCAGAATGGTCTGCTCCCTTCCCTCCTCCCCACCCCCCAAAACAGGGTTTCTCTGTAGCTTTGGAGGCTGTCCTGGAACTTGCTCTGTAGACCAGGCTGGCCTCAAACTCATAAAAGATATGCCTGGCTCTGCCTCTCAAGGGCTGGGATTAAAGGCTTGTACCACCACTGCCCTGACTGGCTCTTTCCCCCATTTATTTTGTACATGTTTACATGTTGTATGATTGCTGGTGCCTGTGTAGGCCAGAAGAGGGTGTTAGATTCCCCGGAGCTGAAAGTTCCAACATGGATCTACAAGCCAAGCTCCAGTCCTCTGTTAAGACGAACAAGCACCCTTAGCTGCAGAGCTGTCTCTCTAGCCCTCCAGATTGGTTCTTGAGTTAAATATACAATGATAACTTAAAAATCTTTGGGCTTTTTTATTCAGTGTTTCTGTTTTTTCTTACATCTCTTCTGTTATCTCTTCTTACATCTCTCATTCTAGAGGGGAGCCATCAAAACTAGATCGGGATGTTTTAGCAGCTCTTGAGTGTGCCTGTATTGACCCTGGTCTGTACCCAGCTGTCCACAGATGGAAAAGCACTGTCCTGTGCTACTCACCCTCAGACAGACAAAGGTACTATCAGAACATCAAAGTCTAGAGACCGACAGTTTTATCATGTGTGGGTAGCTTTCTCATAGTGACAGAGCTAACCTGTACAGTTCCCCAATACTGGAATGTATGTTCATATAGGTGTGGTCACAAAGGCAGATGTCTGTTGAGTGGAAAAGTAGGCCAGGCTTGCTCCTGGCAAACTGCACCAGAGGTGGCAGCATCCAGGATTTGTAGCTGTAGTAACATGGGTGTTGTGTGAAAGACCTTCAGGTTTGAGGTGCAGAAGTACTTCCTCTCTGTAAGATGGGTGTCATTCCTGTGTCCTTGTTCTGTTCTTAAATCTGTACATCTCTGTAGATGTACCTTTGTGTGGTAACAAATCTCTTTTTGGTTTCTGCAGTTGGCCAAGTCCTGCACTTAAAGGGAAGTTCACAGCTGAGCTGCTGGACCTTGGTTGCTCTCATAGCTGCAGTTCAGGACGAAGCAGTCCAGCTGGTAGCAGCCCCAGCAAGCCTGGCCACACCACCTCCTCCCCTGGCCTTCACAGCCCCGGGCGGTACAGTCCGGCACATGGGACCCACTTCCAAAGGATGGCACACATGGCCCGCCTTGCAGCTCTGTAGAGCCAGCCAGTATGCTCACTTCTGGGGCTCATTTACTTCTTTGTTTTTAAAAGAAGGGCAGTATGTTTAGTGGTAAAAATTCCATGAAAAACAAAATGTATTCTGAGTAATTTCTTAATACTCACTTTGAGGGTACCAGAATTTTAGAATATGCAATGTTATGAGTAAAATTAAATTTCTGCTATGTTGGAAGAAGTTAATGAAAGCAAACTCAGATCCAAGTTGTTTGAAAAGTGTGACTGTAGTAATGATTCAGACTTTTCAGCTAGAAACATCTAGTTTTGGAATAGAGCAAAGATACGAAGGCAGCTGATAGGCAAGTGAGGTGTTGCTTTAATTGGGGCTGGCTACCTGTGGTATTAGCAGCATCTCTGCAGTGCCTGTAAGCACACCAAGGGTTTCTGAGGGTGAACTGTGTGTTGTCTCATTCTTTGGGTGGGCGGCTTTCTTATACACAATGGCAAAAATGTGTGTTTGTTACTTAATCCTAGTTGTTCCAAAAGTGAGAAAGCAGATGACAGGGAAAACATATGGGTCCTGCTATCTCAGACTTCAGTAGCAATGCTCAAAACAGTGCTAGTGGGGGTGAAAAAGTCAAAGCCATTGGAAGTCATGCCAGTAATCATAGAAACTCACCAGCAATAACTAAAAAAAAATTTTTTTTTTATTTTTCAGAACTTCCATGTGGTTTTACTTAGTTGTCAGTGTCGAACTTTACTAGGCTTAAATTTTTTCCTGAGACTTCATTGAGCATGATTACATGACAAATATCTCACTTTAGAATTCATTTAAAGAGCATTACACTACAGCCTAAAACCTGAAGTTTGAGCCCTGAAATTTCAGTTGCTTACAATGTTCACTTTTGCCTGTCCCCCGTCACTAGCCCCAAGAGATCTGTACAGTGTGTGCTGTATACCCTAAGGTACAAAGGTAAAAACCATCCTGCTGAAGGTAGGTCCTGGCACACCTGCTTGCACACAGGCAGTAGTGTTCTATAGACACTTGCAGTACTGAATCCCAATCAAAAATACACAACTGATTTTGCCAACTTCAGTGCCTTTTGTGAGTCATTTTTAATCTTCCTGGATTTAGATTTTGAGATTGTATGATGCTGCTGAATTGGTGTTAGATTCTTTTTTGTTCATAAAAATACTGGCCAGGCATGGTGGCAAGTGCCTTTAATCCCAGCACTCAGGAGGCAGCCAGGCCTACATAGAGACCTTACCTCAAAAATAAATAAATAAAAATTCTGAGTTTTAACGTTTAGGGTTCTTTTTTTTTTTTAAGGTTATTTTTAAAGTGGTCAGAAATACTAGAATTGAGATTTAAGACTTTGGATTCAAAGTTTATTACATGGAATGTTTTCATTTCCTGTATAAATATAAGTACAAAACAGCCAATACAGTGATCTGAAAACAATGCCATTTTAAAACGATTATCTTTGTTCTCAAAAGAAAAAAAAATCCGCTAGCACTCCAGGGAGCAAGCACCAGTTAGTAAGGAGCACAGAATAATTGGCAGATAAACTGTATTTTCTTCCCAGTCCCTAGTCCCATTATAGAGTTTAAGACTTCCTTCTTAGAATGAACTATTCCAAAAAAAAAAAAAAAAATCCACACATTATATTCAGCTATGATCTTGTTTTCTTATCATTTTGTCCTGGGTTTGTTTTTGGGGAGTGAGGGGATCAATATTCAAATAAAAACAGAAGCACTAGTTTTGTGCTAGCTTCACAGACGACAGTTTTGGGTATTGTTTTTGTTTTTTGGGTTTTGTTTTTTTGAGACAGGGCAGGGTTCTTTGGAGCCTGTCCTGGCACTTGTTCTGTGACCATGCCGGCCTCAAACTCACAGATACGCCTGCCTCTGCCTCCCAAGCACTGGGACTAAAGTCGTGCACCACCACAGCCCAGCCTAATCTTATTTTTTACTCACATTTATTTACATAATGTATGGAGATCAGAAGACAACTTTTAGGAGTAGGTTTTTATTTCCAGTCCAGTAGGTTGCAGGGATCCAACTCAGGTCACTGGCCATGACAATTTTATCTGCTGAGCCATCTTGTAAGCCCATTCGAAACTTTAAGCCACCTTTGACCGTTTTTCCACTAATGTGTAGAGTATATCTATTAGTAACTCTTGGTAATTCTGTGCCATAAACACTGTTAAATGAATCATTTTTGCACAATGCTTTCATAAAGGTGACTTAGTGGACAGAATTCCCTTTTTGGTAAAACTGTAAGCAGTATTTTCATGGCAAAGTACATCAATTTGTGCATCACATTGATATTCGTGGGGTGGTCTCTATGTTGCCGGAATGGCCTTGAACTGAACAAGTTTACTTACTGGTTTTTGGTTTCTAACACAGAAGATATCATTTGATTATTGGCAGTATTACAATATTATTATTGTAATAGAGACAACAGAAGTCTCCAGTGTTCATTTCTAGAGAAGAGCAGAGTACAGTGTTGAAAATTTGTGCTTGCTGCACTATGGCAGGATCCAAAACAAGATGCTATTGAATAGCTGGATCTTTACTGCTTTCAGAGGAAATAGTTAGGACTTTGTCTTCATGAGTTGGGCCTTGCTTGATGGGCTGTTGACCCACACATTGGTTATGTCAAGATCTAGTTATTTTTCTGACTTTAAAATTATATTAGTATTTCTCATCTGTCTCAGAGGAAAAACACTGGGATGAAGTAAAACACAATAGTCAAGAAGAATCAGTGCCTATTAGCGACACACCATTCCCACTACTTGATCAGTGTCTCAGAAGTCTCTAAATATCTATCCCAAACCAAGGAAACTGAAAATTATGAAGTGTTTCATATTTAAGAAAACAGGTTATTCCTCGAACTTACATAGCTCTTAAATTGAGCCAAATGCTGCATTCTAGTCATAACTTTACAAAATCTAGAAACCCATTTTCTCATGGTTGGCTTCAAATCTAACAGTATGGTTATTTGGGTATTGTGCTATACTTTCAGTGTTTCCTAGAAGACAATATTTCAATGTTTTCCTAGAAGACAAATGAGAAATAATAGTATAATTTTAAAGTCAGAAAATTAGATTTTGACACAGCACTGTGTGTATCAACAGCCCAGCAAGCAAGGCCTGACCCAGAAGCATTTGAAATCTATTAGATCACCTGTATGACCACAAACTTCTATAGGCCTTGCTTTAGCTTCCTGTCCCTGCTGTTCAGTATGTCTTACTTACATCATTCTCAGCTCTCACTCTGCAGTGTGATTTTTTTTTTTTTTTTTTGGACAGGTGATGAGAATTGGGATCCAAGGGGATAGGACAGCTGACTAGGGATCAGGCTATCGGCTTTCAGGATCATTGGTGTTATAAGTGATTACTATGCCTTGCAGATGACTGTCAGCCTCCAAGAAAGATAACTCATTTCATATACAAGGAGCTGGCTTCACCTCAGAGCTAAGGCTTATTCCTAAAATTTACGGAGGCTGTATCATGTGGAAAACACTCTTAGTGCACTGATCCCAAGCAAGTCATTATCTCCCTGAAATGTTTTTTTTTTACCTTCCCATCAGGTCAAGTGAGGAACTTTGAGCTTTGTGTTTAGAAGTTAACAGCCTGGCATGCCTGCCTCAACTACTACTAGAAAGTGGAATGTGGGTAGTCAAGGTTACCTCCAAGTGACGGTATTGAACAGGAAGCAGTGTGGGAGGTAGTCCTCCAAGCAAGATACCTGGGATAGAAGACACTGAGAAAGGGCTTCTAATTATACCACATTTTTTTCTTTAAAACAAACAACAAAGAAGTAATATTTTATTACATACTAGTTTCTAAAGAGAACAAAGAGATGGGTCAAATATTCCAATTCATTGTATTGATTACAGAAAATGCTCACAACCACTTCATAGAAACTGTATTAGGATTTTTGGGGGGCCAAGTATGGTAGTGCATATCTACAGTCCCAACATTCAGAAGACCACTAAGGGTCTTGAGTTTGAGGCTAGCCTGGGCAACAGTAAGATCCTTTCTCAAAAAAACAAAAATAAACAACAAAAAAAAACCCACATACACACAAACCAGTTTTTTCCTAAGTTATCTGACTATCTGAAGTAAACAAACACATCATTTCTAAGTAGCTTAACCTACAAGCCCAAAGGTTAACAGTAAACAGTAGCAAACTAAGTCACTTTGAGATATTTTTGTTTTTAAGACTTGATCTTTCTACATAGCTCAGCCTAGCGAGAAACTCATGATCCTACCTTTGCTTCTCAAGCGCTAGAATTACAAGCATATGGCACCTCATCTGGTCAGTGTGGGCTATTTCATTGCCTCCAAAGAATCTCTTACAAGGCTGTCATGTATGTGCCATATATAAGCCACAGTCTTCCTGCAATGCCACTTCTTTCATGGCTTATATCTACCTTATAGGAAGCCAATCCATTTGCCCTTCAGTTCATTCAGATGCAATAGACACAGGATCTCTTGTGTTTTCAAAGAAAGAACCCATGTAAGGAAAATATTTGATAAATATTTAAGCAACAAAAGTTCCTAGATTGTAATATATGAAACAATGAGTTGAAAACAACCACCATACTGCCTGACAGGTTTTCTGCCAGAGCTTAGGGTTGTTCAGTTGATCTACTGCAATCACCTGATACAGCACAGCCAGGCCGGTTCAGTCCCCATGATATGTCTGCCTTGTGCCCCAGAAGGTCCCCATCTACACCTTGTAGAGCTGTGCTAGTGGTAATGGTAAGGTAGAAAGCTTTTAAAAAGGCCATCTAACCCATAAGTTGCCTTCTGCAGCCTGGGCCAGAAATAAGCACCCAAATGTGACACTGATCTATCCTCTTCCTGGAGACAACATGAAGCCACAGCATAGCCTAGACAGGGAAGACAAGGAAGGGAAGGCTGCAGCCAGGCCACCAGCAGAGGAAAGGGTGCAGTCCTACAGGCAATCTCAGGACCGGGTAATCTTGTCTGGGGGCATGAATCCTGTGTCCCCAAGGGTCCTGAGTGCAACACGACCGTTGGGTCGGATTACCAGGTAGGTGATACTCCCATTGTTGAGGGACAGGCGGAGCCAACCTTCCGGAGGAAACTGCAGTGCTCTGGGGAGAGAAAGATGATGCTAGCAGAAATCTCAGATTAGTACAGAGCTAGCTGCTCTTGGGTCAAGCAAGGTTGACAGCCTTTTGGAGTAGGCACATTCAACTGAGGTGATAACTGTCTTCAGGGAAAGGATTCTCAGGGGAAAGGTCTCAATAGCACACTAAATAAGGATCTGACAAGTGGGAACAAAGCCCCAACCCAGCTAATTCAGAAATGTGCTCAGGGCTAATGATATCAAGGCTGTTTAGCACTGTAACAAGCACCATCCACATTTGTGCTACAAGTATTTGACAGAAACTGGCTGGTCTCCCAGAATAAAAGTATAACACATGACCCCATACAGGATTTCCTTTTGTAAGGACACAGGTAATGGGACTAGAGAGATGGACCAAGAGTATTTGCAGAGAACCATAGTTAAATTCCCAGCACCTATGTTGGGCAGCTCACAACTTCTAATACCCCCAGCTCCAGGGAATCCTATTTTTCTGGCCTCTAAGGGTACCTACATGCAGGCACACACACATACAGGAGTATCTACTGAACAGTTTGGTCTCTGCCATTTTCTAGTAATCGAATGTGCTCTACCCTCAAGAACTGGCCTGAGTTAAATCCAATGTAGCCTACCAACACATGTGACATTTCCTGCTACAATTTTAAATTACAAATACTGTAAAAGCCCTGTGATATGTCCCAGCTAATACTGAAAAGGGACATAGTATCCCTTTTATTTAAAGAAAGGGGTTTTATGTAGCTCAGGCTGGGCTTCTGTGTTGCTGGAGACAAGACAAACCCAGGTCTTTATACATGTTAGACAAGCACTCTGCAATGAAGCTACATCTCTATCCCAGTCTGCTAGAACACTGTATGCTTTGTGGTGTTCTGCTGCTTAAAAAGAGCTTCTAGATCCTCAAAGGGCTATATAGATTTTCACATAAACAGGTTTCATTTATTTTGAGACAGTCTCACTGTGCAACCCCTGGCTCACCTGGAACTTACTATATAGAACTGGCCTAGAACTCACAAAAATCCACCTGCCTCTGCCTTCCAACTGCTGGGATTAAGGTAAGTGCCACCACATCCAAGTCATAAATGGGTTACTTTATATATACTTTATATATGTAATCCTGGCTAGCCTGAACTCACAAAGATCTGCCTACCTCTGCTTCTTAAGTGCTGGGATTAAAGGTGTGTGCCACCACACCTGACATATGAAGTATATTTTTAAACAAAGTGGACCATGAGATGGCCCAACTTGGGCAAAGGCCCTTGCTGTGCAAGTCTGGCAACTTGAGTTCAGTCCCTGGAATCCACATAAAGGTAGAAGGAAGGAGAGAAGTGACTCCACAAAATTGTCCTTGACCTCCACACAAGCTCTTTTTTACCCTTCCTGTTGAGGATCAAACCCAGGCTCCTATACATGCCAGACAAGCTATTTACCACTAAGCCACACCTCAGCCCAGACGACTACAGTCTTAGTGTTATCCATCACAACTCAGGATAATGATCATTCCTGAAAGAAAGAAGGACTCTGCCTTTATTCACAGTGTAAGTACTCCCAAGTGCCTAGTTTCTTCTTTCTGCATTTTCAACATCAATGTCAGTCATTAGGGGCTGTTACAGAATATAAGATAATGAGGTACAAAATAAATAGGCCATTCCTGGCTTGTTCACATGTTGAGAGGAATGCATAGGATATACCCTAGGCAACAAGGGTATAACAAGTAGTTGGGACCACAATCACCCTAGAAGCACCTGTCCACCGTACTACCCACCTTCCTCCTACCAGTTCTCAGTCTGATACGGAGCTCCAGGGCCCAGTAGGGATTCCCAGCTTTCCAACATTTTGTATTTTCTTGGGACTCAGGCTCGCCTAACTGACCACCAGGTCCCATAGCTATCCCTGGGCTGCTGGTCAGGTGTGATGGGAACATACATCATGGCACAGGGGACAATCTAAAAATAGGGAGCAGGCTACTACCTTGGCACCCATAAAGAAGTGGCTAAAAAAGGCATATAGGAAAATAGCATGAGCCTGGAATATTCTGCTGAGCAGCAAACCAATAATCACAGGTCATGATGTACAACAGGTGATTGTATGCATGTCCAATCACATGTACAGGACTAGCAGACAAGTATCCTGACCCACAAGGTGCTCATACTGCTCACAAACATGGAGAAAGACAGTACTTATAGAAGTTCTGATACCAACAGGATGAAGGAAATAAAATACCAGACCAAGTCCAGTGCTAACTGCTACTGCATCTACCAACAGGCAGTTGGAACAAGTGTGTGGAAAACAGGACTCTGAATGGTCCCTAGACATTCATCATTCTCATAAGGTAGTGGAAGCTGGAACACAGCTCCTAGTCTGAGGAAACCCAAGGCCAGGAAGGAGGTTTTGGGTTTTTTTTGGTTTTTTTTGTTTTGTTTTGTTTTGTTTTGTTTTTTTGGTTTTTGAGACAGGGTTTCTCTGTGTAATAGCCCTGGCTGTCCTGGAACTAGTCCTGTAGACCAGGCTGGCCTCTGCCTCCCTAGTGCTGGGACTAAAGGTGTGCCCTACTATGCCTGGCCCAACACAGGAGTCCTTAATGGCACTTACCTGCAGACAATATAGCGGATAACATTGGCGTGGCATATGAAGATCTCATAGCTGTCTTCCTCCTGCTTGGCATCAGCTCGGTGGATGTAGTTCCTGAAGGCAGCCTCAATCCGGGCTCCATCTTCATAATACTGCTAGGAGCAGAGCAAGGAGTTGTCAGTGTGGACACAGACAAGGCTAAAGGCAGGCCTTGCCCTATTCCAGTGGCACAAGGAATGACATTTTTACCACAGCCTCTGGCTTCCAGTGAGAGACAGGTGGATCTGGTTCAATAGGGGCACCTTCCCGTAGCAGGTCTGTGCTGACTCTGCAGACACCTGGAAAAGGGGAGACCCCTATTCAGCAATGTATCCCCAAGACTAAATCTATACCCTCAGCATGGCAGACAACCAGTACTCACCTGGCAGGTGTTTACTAATAATGTCTGTGGTCTCTACAGCACGGGTCATGGAGGAATGGACAATTTTATTAAACTTTAATCCCAGGCTTGCTAGTCGGAGCCCTGTAAGTTCAGCCTGTTCCCGACCTTGAAGGAAAAATAACTGTGAAAGTCATATACCAGGACCCTCCACTTACTGAACAAACAGTGAAATGCCATCAAGCACCACTGATGATGATGTCCTCAAAGGCTTAGCCAGGGTCAGATCCTCAGGGAGCAAAGAAACAATCAGTTGTCCTCAACCCCAAGGAGAAACGCACCTGATTCAATTAGCAACAGTGCGTTAACTTACCAGCAGTGGAATGTGAACCCTTTGCTATTCCTCCTACTTTTACTCAACTATGTTCAAAATCAAGTTCCAGTTGGGAACATAATATAGGAGGCTGAGGCAGGAAGATTGCCATGAGTTCAAGGCCTGTCTCAAAACAAACTACAAACTGACTCTTAGTATTAAATATAGATGCTTTTTGTCAAATGTACTTTAGCATATGGCTGGAAACACTCCAAGAAATCACTTTTGTCTTGTTCTGAAAATCATTTTCTATACTGAATATGGGAACCTCCATCACCACATTGATGACCTGATTTTCTGCTTATGCCCAGGTGTCAAAAGCAACAAAGTAACTCCTCAGGTTGGTGGCATAATCTGCTAGAGAACACACCTGGAGACATATTACCATCCAACTTTTGAATATGTGTACAAATGGGAAATACATCATCCAAACAAGAAATTATTTAAAATGTAAATGCACACTACCATGTATTCATGTTCCCGCCTACTTGGGAAGAAAAACAGGGGGTCAGGGATCTAGACTAGCCTAAACTACATTGTTGAGACTGTCTCTCTCACCACCATGCTGAAATGGGGAAAGAAAGGGAGAAGGACTACATCCCAAGTTCAGCTGATACTTCAAGATCATTCAAGCAATCATACCTAATGGGGTCAGGGTGCGGTCCTTTTCCAGGGAGCCATCCACATGGTACTGGGAATGCCGGATGAGGAATATGTGTCTTGTAGCCTTTGCCTTATAGTGGTCCAGCCTGGATGCCAGTTCTTCTTCTCCAGATTCCACATTCCTCTTCTTCAGGTTAATGAGAGACAGTGGCTCTCGCCTAATTGTGAAAGCATGTCTTATAACCTCTTGTTCAAGACACCTTGATTCAGTACTTGGGGAAAGCCAAGCCCAGGGAGGCTGTGAAGCCTAAGGTTCATGTTCTTGGCGAAGACAGGGCTAGGAAGGTGGCACAGGGGTTAAAGTGCTTGTTAAAGTATAAGCAGGAAGACTGGAGTTCAGAAGCCACATAAACACTGGGTAGGCAAGGTGGCCCACCTATAATTCCAGCCTCAGAGAGTAGAGACAGGATCCCCAAAAGAGGCTGACTAGTGAGACTAATTGTGTTCGAAAGTCCAAGCTATGACTGAGAGACCATGTCTTAAAGGATAATCTAGAAGCACAATCAAGAAAACATCTTGCTTTCTAACTCAGGCTTTCATACAGACCCACACACATGCACATAAGAAGGAAAAAAGAGAAACTGTCAATAATGCTGCAAATATGCAACCCAGGTGACAAGAAGAAGTGAGAATATGGATAATTGCACTGCAGCAAAACCTTGAATTGCACTGACTGTATGGGGCTGTTTCATTCATTTATTTATTTTGTTGGTTATGAGACAGAGTTAGTGTAGCCCAGGCTGAGGTCACAGCAATCCTACTTCAACCTTCCAAGTACCAGGATTAAAGGTATGCATTAACATCCCTAATTTAAATTAAAAATACTAGACAGGAGCCCTTGGCTGTATTTTCTCATAGTACAAGTCCTCATACGTGGGAAGCTGAGGCAGAAGGATCACAAAAGGCCAGTTTGAGCTATATAATAAGTAAATCCCACACTGATAGATTTGATCAACCAGGTATCAAAAATATTCAAAACCTTTTACACCTATACTAAACTTTTTTCTTGCAATTTTACCTCAAGCTATATAATTTAACAACTACTTGGGTTGCAATTTTATTGTATTGTATTTAAGTATAATAAATAATCTAGGGATGATTTAAACTATACAGGAGATTATCCTAGACATCTAACATCTAGGTTATTTGCAAATACTACACCATCTTGAACATCCACAGACTTTGGTATGTTTAGAGATCCTGGAACCAATCCCCCAGGATACAGAGGAACTACTATAATTAAATAAAAATAGAGGTCTTTTCTAAGTCACACTAAGCACATTTTAAATGTTTAGCAGTACACTGGGATAGTCGCCATCACATTGGTTGAGGACTGCAGTTAGTGGACTGGGTATGTAGGAGCTGAAGAAACTGAAGGTACTCAGTTCATGTAGAAGGCAGGAGCCGGGTAAGGTGAAGAACGCCTTTAATCCCAGCACTCAGGAGACAGAGGCAGGCAGATCTCTGAGTTTGAGGCCAGTCTGGTCTAAAGACTGTTTTGGTTTTTGAGACAGGGTTTCTTTATACAACCCTAGCTGTCCTGGAACTCACTTTATAAACCAAGCTGGCCTCGAACTCAGAGAGATCCACCTGCCTCTGTCTCCCAAGTGCTGGGATGAAGGTGTGGCCACCACCACCTGGCTATATAAACAAATTTAAATCTGGTAATGTAATTTTTTTTTGATAGGGTCTCTCTATATAACTCAGGCTGACCTAGAATTCAGAGATCTGCTTGCCTTTGACTCCCACTGCTGGGACTAAAGGCGTGCACCACTAAACCGGGCTTCCATGGTAACCTAACTCTTAGTTCTAAGCACAGGTTCTTTGACCTCTGAGACAATAGCATGCTTGAAATCCCGATTTTCCTCAGGCTGCAGCAGGAGAATCTGTGAGGACAAACTGAACTATATATTAAGACCCTGACTATAGATCTATAGACGGATGGATGGATGGATGGATGAATAAATCTTAATCCTTTAGAATTTCAGACCCTCATAGGATAATGGTCCTTGAACAAAGATCTTCGGGTGCACTGTTTCTGAATAAGGACTTTCCGAGGAACCTGTCTGGCCGGACATAGGTACCCTCGGAGGAAGGGATGGATGGTCCAGGCACTGAGACCCTTGGAGGACACGTCGTCCTGGTACTGGGACCCTCGAAGGACCAGCCGCCCGGTTCACACAAACCCTAGACCACTAGTACACACCCCTTCAGAGCACCGACATGCGCCCTAACGCAACGGATGTGAGGAACCAGGCCCGAGCTCCACCCTCCCGTCCCTGCACCTGTCCCAGTTGGAGTCCCAGACGCTGGGCCCGGGCCGCGAGATTCCTGTCCAGGTCGACCGCTCCGTTGCGCGCGTGTCTGCATCCCCGCCGCCGCGCGGCTTGCCCACCGCAGGCCGCCAGCTGAAGCGCCTGCCGGAAAGCCATGCCTCAAATCGCGCGGCCCCACGGCCGGACGCCAGGGACACACTTCCGTATGCGCCCGCTTCCGGTTGGTGGAAGTTCCGCCTCCGCATCCCACTCCACAGAGCAGGAAACGTGGACTGGGGCGCCACCTGCCGGTAGTCGCCGGGTGGCAGGCGCAGGTGCCCTTCGTTGGTGGGTGTTGAGTACTCAGGGGATCAAAATCTGGCACTGGGTTTAGGTGAGAACTGAAAAACCTCAGGTTTGACTCTTGCTCTAGATAAAGAGTTTTTGTTTTCTTTCGTAATCCTTAAGTGTATGCATACTGTTCTCCAACTATCAACTTTCACCTCCAGAGTTCTTTCCATTTTCCTCAACTAAAACTTTTTTCATTAAACTATCAACTCTCCATTCCCCACACCTAGCTTCTAGCACCTCCCATCCTGCCTCCAAGTTTTATCACCCTAGTTGTTACTGAGCAACTGACAAGGTCCTTCTGAGTAGGAAGTAGTTCAACTGCTCTTCCAGTGCTGGCAGTCCTAGGCCCCGTTGAGCCTGGGGCCAAGGGACTAGACTGGCAGGTTCAGAGGCTTACAGTTCCCTTGGCCTTTGACAATGGCTAATACTACAGTGCATTTCCTCTGATTGGAAAATGAGCCTCAGTCCCTTACATAAAAGGGGGTGTAGCAATGAATGGTTTTAGTACCAATCCTGGCAGTCATGAATGTTTACACCAATCAGAGGCTTTCTGCACAGCCCTTCTGGCCTGGATGAAATTATTGCATGGTCATCAGAGTTCATCACCATGTTTGTCTTGCTCACAGTACTACTTTCTAGTGTCAGTGGGCGCTGTCTGGAATGGTCATGACTAGAGCAAATCCTCACCGTGAGTCTCAGTGTCTAAACAGCTGGCTGACCATAAGAGGCTGCTTTCCTGGCATGACCTCAAGTCAGGCACCAGAGCTGGACCTGTTAAATGCTTTAATCTTTCATAGAAAGTATCAATAGGGTGTGTACAATAAAGACTTAACAAAATCTCAACTCTGAACTAACTTTTACAGTATAGTTCTTATTTAACTGTGCTTACTTACTGCCTCAGTGTCTCATGGGGAGGTAGGTCTCTCTACTCTGTGTTCTAGGAATCTTGAATTAATTGAACTCCATCGCTCTGTCCTTTTGTGACTGGTGTCCTTTTCTGTTTTTGTTTGTTGTTGTTTCCTTCTGTGATAGGGCCCCACCATAGTATGTAGCCTTGGCTGGCTTGGAGCTTGCTATGTAGACCAAACTGACTTCCTCTCCTAAGTTACTTGCAACCCTCCTATTAGCCTCTTCTGTTACTGTACTCTTTCAATTTACACATCACTGGACAAAAGGAGGGAAACTATGGAATGAAGAGAGTAAAGAGGGAGGTACATGTTGAATTGTAGCCAGAAAGCAAGAGGAAAATTCTGTGAAGCTTCTTTTACAAGGGCATTAATCTGTTCTGTGTTGGGTTTAATCACTTCCATAAAGAACCTCTCAATGCTACAAATGAAGATTAAATTTTGTAGAGGACATTCAAACCATGGCAAAATGCAATTAGTTACTTCCCTCCTTGCTGTGACCAAATACTCAACAAGTAACTTAGGACGGATTTATTTCAGCTTGTAGGCATGGCAGCAGGAGCACAAGACAGCTGTGCACACTAAGCAGGAGATGAACGCTGGTGCTCAGTTCATTTTCTCCTTTTCAATCAGTCTAGGACCCCAGTTCATGGGAATGTACTGCTCACATTTGGGGTGAAGCTTCCCTCCTCTGTTAAACCTTTTTTTTTCATTCATTCATTATTTATCTATTTATGTTTATGTGTGTGGGTGTTTTGCATCAGATTCCCTGGAACTGGAGTTTCAGATGGTTATGAGCTGCCGTGTGGATGCTGAGAATCAAACCTGGGTCCGCTGCAAGAGCAGCCAGTGTGCTTAACCACAGGCTTTCTAGCCCCAGTGGTGAAAAACCTTTTTTGGAAACATCCTCATAGACACACCTAGAATCCATGGTGATTCTAGATCCCATAAAGCTGATGATCAAGATTAACCAACATGCAGTTATTATGCTAGGTGAACAGGCCAGGCCTAAGAATAGTGTGAACAGATCTTATAAGGTATGTAGAGTCACAATCAAGACTTTACAGGGATGGTGGTCATTGGTCTAGAAAGAATGGGAAGAAGAGGGAGATGGGGTTTAATAGGAACAGTTCTACTTTAAGATGCAAAAATACCTAGAAATGGATGCTGGTGATGTTTGCATAGCACCAAGATTGTACTTAATGCTACAGAACTGTATATTTAAACATTAAGTGTTGTATGCACTCTGGCACAACATAAAGGAAAAAAAAACAGTATTCAGAGAAATAACAATCACCATGGAAGCAGCTGCATCGCTGTTTATTAACCTTTACCTTGTTTACAATGACAACTACGATTATCTATCTACTTTCTGAGTCTGGCGTTGCCTCTCTAAACACGACATTCTGACACTAACACATTTCCTCCTATAATTTTAAGGCATCTTGAATCACATAATTTAGTCAGATGATGTCCTGAATGATGGGATTCTGATCTCTCCTGCTGGTGGGTAGATTCCCCAAGACCTCATCCACAGTGTATCTGACATCACTTCCTCAGAGAGGCCAGGTAGGCATACCAGAACAGAGCTGCCATGTTGGCAAAGAGCACCCGGAACTGCCAAAAGAACAGTCATCAGGCTACGGTGAGTAGGAATCCTGACCACATTCCTCACACATCAGTGACCCAAGATGAAATTCATCCCTCCAATTGTTTGCTTATTGATTATCTTACCTCCCACTATTGAATGTCCTGAGCCTTTAGTTTGGGTTTGGTAGGACCCAGCAGAGGTAGGAGTACAAATAAATCATCCTAACAGTGTTCTTGCTGTGACTTGGCCTCAGCTCAGCACACTACTGCCCCAGTCCTAATCATCTGAACTTACCCCACCCACCTGAAAGCACCTTCAGCCAGGCGCTGTCTCTTCCAGGCAGACAGTTGTGACAGTAACAATCTGTTCCTGTCTTGCTAATTATGAGTCTTTGGCACTGGGGCATAAGTAGTGCTTAACAACACTTGCTGCATAACTTCCCTTCCCTTTAACCATTCCTTTGCAACTATCTAAAATTAGAACCTTAGTCCTAACCTCAAAGCCCTGCTTGTTGTAAACAGTTTTCTGGCCTCTTCATTCCTCAACCCACTAATCTCTCTCCATCTTACCAGGATGCCTTAGGGTCTGTGGCCCTCTTGTACTACAATGGGGTCTGTTGTCCCTATCTCCTAGTGTAGGTGCTACTACTATGAGCAAAGCTGTCCCAGGCCCATAACTAAGAGGGTTTGTTCTCTCTCTAACCAGAAAGTTTTCTTTACTTCCTTCCAAAAACCTCATCACCCTCTTCTGCTCAGACCCAGAGAGGCAAAGTCTTGCCCATTCATGTTAGCCCTTTGCAGTCACAGACAAAGGGCTTCCACCTAAGCACCACTGTGCACTCATCCAGGAGAACCCCATTCTCTCCACCTCCTACAGTGGTTCCAGAAGACTCCCTTTGTTAATGTAAATGTCCACCCATCCCAGAGGCAGCCATATCTGTACAGAACATAGTCTTGTAAACGTGACACTATTTCTGACTTCAAGACCTATCACCCTAGTTTCCAGGCCATTTCTTCTCATCTTCAAACTTCTCAGAACGTTTTCCAGACTCGTGATTTGTCCTCTCTCCCTTCCCAAGCTGGCCTGGAATTCCTAGTCCTCCTGCCTCTACTTCCAGAGTGAAGGACTGCAGGCACTAGCATGCCTGGCTTCAGTTGTGATTTGTGTGCTTCCTACTCACTCTGCAAAGCAATCTGGCTACACCCCCTAATTCATCCCAACACGTTCTTAGGAAAGTCACTGATAAAGTTACTTCAAACCAGACACCTGTTGGATTTTGTTGTTGTTGGTGGTGGTTTGGTTTGGTTTTAATTTCCTTCTTCTGCTAGGGTTGACCAGGCCTTTGTTATATCCTAAATGTTTGCTGGCTTTCTCCTACTTTGTGATCTATGTGATATATGTATGCATATACAAATGTGGGTGGTAGGTATATGTGCATGTTAAGTAATACATATGTAAATATTTATGAAGTGAGCATGGGTGGGTATTGTATTCTTGTGTATGACATTAAGTGAGGTTTATATATGGAATGACATGTATGTGGTGTGTATGGACTTGTATATATAGTATGCTCCCTTATTCATTCATTCTCTCTCCTCCTTCCTGTTTATGTGTGCATAATAATATGGTGGTCTGTGTGTAGAGTGTAGTCTACATGGTATGTATGTTTGTAGTATATACAGTGTATGTCTGTGCACACTGGCCAACCTCCCTCTTCTTCTACCCAATGGGAGTCCTTTGCTGACCCTATTGTTCTCCTTCCTCCTTCTTTAATGGGCCCTAGTTTGTGAGCTCCCTGTAGGAAAGATGCTTAACAGAACACAGAAGAGGGTTAAGTTTCTGGCATAGACTAAGACTGCTGCCCAAGACCTGTTTGGAAGGATGGCCCTGGTTGGCAAGTTGGGTGTCATAAAGCTCCCACCTTTTCCTTCTTCAGTGTGCACAGAGCTAGCTCCCAGAGGTTTGGAACTTGGCAGAGGTATCTAGTACCAAGTCTTGGAAGAACCCTGATGGTTTCTTCCACCAGACCCAGAGCAAGAGGAAGAATGTCCTTGAGGAAGGAAGTCTGCATCCCTGACGGCCCTTCTCCCCTAGGGTTCAACAGGATTCTGCCACTCATAGTGTAGACTTACTGGGACTGTGAGCCCTTTCAGTTATAGGCAGGTCTTAGGGAAACATAGAGGAAGAGCCTGGCACAAGGACAGCTGGTCCATAACAACTTGAAGCAGTGCACAAGAGACAGCATCTGTAGAACATTGAACCAGCTAGGCAGTGGTGGTGCACATCTTTAAACGCAACACTTGAGAGACAGAGGCAGGGAGATCTCTGTGAGTTCAAGGCCAGCCTGTTCTACAGAGCGAAGTTCCAGGACAGCGAAAGCTACACAGAGAAACCATCTTGAAAAACAAAAACAAAGAAGCAAAACAAAAAACCCAAAACTCCTGGCCACTCTTCTCCTGTGCACTCTACTATTTAGTGGTCAGGTTCACCCATCCTTCAGCGGTCAGTTCCACAGCAACCCCTAAGTGCCTACAAGCACTAAAATTCTTGCAGTTAACCCCCAGGGGCCTTCTCTTTGACCAGCCAGCCCTTTGAAGAACCTGTTTATGTGAGGGTCTTCCTACTTACCTGCTCCACTGCACAGTTGTGTGCTGCCCTGAATCTGCCTGTTCAGTTGCTCCTCCTGAGCCCAAGCAACCCAAATGGTTTCAGTTACTAGAAACACTAGAATTTGCTCAATGAGGATGAAACAGCTGCATAGGAGTCCCTATGCAGTTTACAGCAATGAATCCAGAGCTGATGGACAATGATCAAGTGTGAACCAGAACTCCAGAAACAGATGAAAATATGTCTTGAGAGTACTACCACTTGTTAGAAACAATGACAAAGTCCTTCAGTGAAGACAAGGCAAGCCTTACCTGCAGGGGCACATAGTTGATGTTAATGAACTGCAAAGGTGTCCACATCCTCCAGTTCATTTGCAGTGCAGGCCAGAAGCCACTCCTCATCTTGGAAGCGAAGGCACTGACATCTTTCCCCTGCCAGGAAGGTAAGGGAAGCTGTAAGCAGCCCCTCCATCCATAGCAACTGTAATATGGCACCTTAACCTTGACAGTGATTTGTAAAACATGCTTATATTTTAAAATACACCTACATTTCCTACCCTGCAGCTAATAGGAGTCAACTATCCAGGTGGAATATCTTCAGTGACAACACCTCATTGGCAAATTGGGTGGTGTTTGTCCTCTCACACTGGGTGGTGTTTGTCCTCAATAGCACCTTACAGCAATCTGATGATGACTTGTGCTGTGGCCAGACTGAGGGCTCAGTTATCAACACTTCCCACATTAACTGCCAAAGATGATTAATTTCCAGTCAAAACTTGTCAACTCTTAAAAGATGACCCCCACTAAATGTTATCTGGATGAACGAATGTATTCAGAGTAACCACATTGCTCGGGCAGTGATGGCACATGCCTTTAATCCCAGCACTTGAGAGATAGAGGCAGACTAATCTCTGAGTTCTAAGTTTGAGGCCAGCCTGGTCTATAGAGCAAGTTACAGGACAGCCAGGAACTACACGGAAAAACCCTGTCTTGAAAAACCAACGAACCAACCAACCAAAGAGTAACCATATTGAAAAGAATAGGAAAAGCACCTGGCATTCCAAAGTTATTTTTTAATATACTGTAAAATTATGGTAATTAAAACAATTTGTAAGCAATAGTCAAAGACTAAACTAATACAAAAACCAAAACAACATGCAACAAAAGTGAAAATCCAGAAAAAGAATGGAGTCTAGACAATGGACTAGGCAGAGGCAGGTGGATCTCTATGAGTACAAGGCCAGCATGGTCCACAGAGCAAGTTCCAGGATAGGCTCCAAAGCAATACAGAGAAACCCTGTCTCAAACAAACAAACAAAAATACAAACAACAAAAACTGAAAGAAAAAAATGTATCACACAATCACTAAAAAGTATTAAGAATATTTATATTATCTTCCTATCAGAAAATCCAAAGGGGAAAGAGTACCAGAGTTTTAAAACTTATATGTAGAAATCATCACACACACACACACATACACACACACACACTTATTTATACAAGTTTACATTTTACCTTTATATAGATATTTTAACTTGCATGAAAGTTTGAAACACCTGAAAAAAATGGGAAACTGATTTGCTGCTTGTATTTGTGGAAAAGGACTGCTATTCTTAATATACCCAAATACACAAGTCAATAGAGGAAAAAATGGCATGATGGTACACATCTGTAAAAATCTCAGTACTTTGGAGGTAAAGGCAAGAGGATTGGGAGTTTGAAGTCATCCTTGGCTACACAGCAAGTTCAAGGTCAGCCTAGGCTACATGAAACCCTGTCTCAAGAAGTACCCTTCTATGGAGCTGGAGAGATGTCTCAGAGGTTAAGAGCACTGGCTATTCCTCCAGATGTCCTGAGTTCAATTCCAAGCAATCATATGTTAGCTCACAACTATTTATAATGCGATCTGGTACCCTCTTCTGCCCTGCAGCCAAACATGCAGGTGGAACACTATATATAATAAATAAATACATCTTTAAAAAAAAAAAAAAACCCCTCCAGGGCTGGAGAGATGGCTCAGAGGTTAAGAGCACTGACTGCTCTTCCAGAGGTCCTGAGTTCAATTCGCAGCAACCACATGGTGGCTCACAACCATCCATTATGAGATCTGGTGCCTTCTTCTGGTGTGCAGATATACATGGATGCAGAATGTTGTATACATAATAAATAAAAATTAAAAAAATCTTTATAAAAAAAGAAAAAAATACCCTTCCACAAAAAAGAAAACCCCTAATATAAGAGAAGCAAAGTTCATAGAATATACAGCATATGAGGTATACAAATTAAAATACTTTTTACCTGATAGTCACAAACTGTTTTTAAAGGGTTTTGTAGCATATCAGGCAACCTTAAGATTTTTGTAGAACAGATCTCTTTGGTAAAGTCATGTGTTAGTTTACTTTATAATTCTATTTATTTGGGTTTGGAGACAGAACCTCACCTTGTAGTTCAGGATGACCTTGAAATTGTGGCAAATATTCCTTTCTCAACCTCCTGAGTATGGCAATTATAGGCATAAGCCATCAAGCTTGATGTAGAATCATATTAGAAACATGCATGTAAAAACAAAAACAACTCTACTAAAAGTTATCAAAATATTTGGAAACTAATTCTATGATAGAGTAGTATGCATCCCTCTTTGACAACAGATGTAGTGACAAGACCTCAAGGCAGCCCCAGGACATATGTTACAACTGCCATGTGGATTATGAGGCTTATGACTTCTACTAGGGATAAAGAGGTACTATTAACACTCCTGGCAGGGCATTGGTAGGCATGCCTTTAATCCCAGAACTCAGGAGGCAGAGGCAAAGGCAGGTGGATCTCTGTGAGTTCGAGGCCAGCCTGGCCTACAGAGTGAGTTCCAGCATAGCCTCCAAAGCCACAGAGAAACCCTGTCTCGAAAAAACAAAAAACCAAAAACACTCCTGTGGTCTGTTTGCTAGGTTCACGAGGGAAAATAGAAAACATAAAAATAGAAAGTTGAAGAATAGTGAGATGGCTCAGCAGGTAATGGTACTCGCCGTTAAGTCTGATGACCTGAGTTCAGTCCTTGAGACCCACATAGTAGAAGGAAAGAACCAACTCCTCTGATCTCTACATACAACCTTTGGTACAAACATGTCCATACACACACAGAGAGAAATCAGGGAAGCAGTATTTCCTGGACATGGCAGTGCTATTGTGCACATCAACTCAAAGCAACTTTGACAACATGCCTAAGACCCAAACATGCTCAAGCCAGGAAATCCCAGTATGGACAGGGAAGATATTCATAAAGTTCTACCCCAATGGAGGAGCTACTGGAAGTTAATGGTTGCTGCGAAGGGAAAGCCAGTTTTTCTTCAGGAATACAGCCCCCAGGAGGCCTATACTCATGCACATACAGAAAGCACTAAGTAAACACAGTAGGTTTTAAAAAAAGGACACATGAAGTTGGGAAGGAAAGGTAGTGTGGGGAGAGGGGTGGTTTTGATCAAAACACATTAGATTCATGTATGAAATTTTCAAATAATTACAAAGGAAAGAAAATGGAAAGTTGAAAGCAGTGAAAGATCAGACCTTGAGGCCCACCCTAGGAAGCAAGGCTACCAATACACCTGTTAGCAGGAGAACAGCAAGTGCAGAAGAAACACTCACCTCCAACAAGTTCATGATGAGAAAGAACAGCAGCAAAAAGGTTGGTGCAAAGAGCAGGCGATCCAGCAGCAGCCTCTTGACAGTGGCCAAGGGAACCCCAGGAGGGATCCAGTACTCCATGAAGAGGTAGAAATAGTGACTCAGTGGGCCTGTGACAAAGAACCTGGAGCACCACAGGGGTTTGAGCTGGACTTCAGTTCTTTCTACATTTCCTTCTTTGGCCCAGCCTCACATCAAGATTCACCTCAGATCCTAAGCCCTCTTTCCTTTCCCCAAAGTACTTACTGACCACACAAAATTGTATAGACCTGTTTCAATCAGTTTCAGGCAGTCTTTTGGCCTGAAAAGACTGGTTACTTTGCTAGTTCCTGTTCTTGGTCAGCTGGCAGAGCCATAATGATGGTCCTAGCTAAGATATATGTCCATCTGATGCCTCTGTGTTCCAGGCCATTATGCTATTTGTCCACATCTGTGCCCTCATGCCTAACAGGCTCTGAGAAGTAAATAGACATAACCCAGCTTGGCCCGGTGTGCGCCAAGCCCAGAAGTGAGTTTCACAAAGCACAGTAATGCAGGGAGGGGCAGGAACCAGGTCTTTCAATTCCAACAATGAGTCTGTAAAGGTTTTCAACTGGACTTGCTTGTACCACTGTGCGCTGTAGTAAGGCAAACAACTGGAGTCTTTGGGAGGCTAAGATCATATGAGAGGTTAAGGTGCTTTAGTTGACCTTGTTGCTTGACAAAGTGTGGGACATATGGCTTTATAAACATTATAGTAAATGACTCAAATTATAATTCTTGGAAGCTTTTGTGAGGTTAGGACTGAATCTCAGTTGATAGAGTACTTCCTAAGCATGCCATGAAACCCTAGGTTTGATTTACAGCACTGCAAAAAAAAAAAAAAAAACAAAACAAAAACCAGGTGTGGTGTTGCACACCTATGTTCCCGGCACTCAGGAGGCAAAGACAAGTGTCCCTTGAACTCAGAAGTTCAAGGGATATAAGAGACAGTTGCAGTCTCCACACACACACACACACACACAAAAAAAAAAAAAAAACCTTTCTGATTATTTAACTTTATGTATTCATTTAGTTAGTTATTGCTTGAGACAGGGACTCACTGTGTAGCTCCGGCTGACCCAAAACTCACTATGTAGACAAGGTTGACCTCTCAAGTTCTGAGATCAAAGGCATGTAATACCACGTCCAGCTAAATGATGACAAGTATTATCTAAGTGGAGACATACATGAAGCCGTGGGTTTAATCCTAATGCCACACACAAAAAAAAAGGTTTGGTTTTGTTTTTAATCACTCCAATGCAAAGACTTCAAAAATCATTTAGCCATCTTATTAGTATTGGCCAAAGAGCTCAGAGATGATTTTGTTTTAAAGACAGATCTTACATAGCAAAAGTAGGTCTGAGACTTGTGGCAATCCCACACTGCCTCTGCCTCCAAAGGACTAAGCTACAAGCCTGTGTCATCATGTTGAGCCTCTGATGCTTCTTTTTTGTTTGGTTTGGTTTTGTCTCTCTTTGTAGCTCTGGCTGTCCTAGAACTCACCATGTAGACCAAGCTAGCCTCAAACTCACAGAAATTCACCTACCTCTGCCTCCCAAATGCTGGAATTAAAAGAGTGGGCCACTACACCTGGCTCTCTGATGCTTCTTAAAGAATTAGTTTTTCTTTTGGTTTATTTTTTACTTTTTTAAAAGATTTATTTATTTATTACATACACAGCATTATGTCTGCATGTAAACCTGCAAGCCAGAGAGGGCACTAGACCTCATTACAGATGGTTGTGAGTCACCATGTGATTGCTGGGAATTGACCTCAGGACGTCTAGAAGAGTATCCTCTTAACAGCTGAGCCATCTCTCCAGCCTGGTTCTTTATTTTCTACTTTTTGTGCATGAATGTTTTGCTTGCAGGTATGTCTGTGCACCATATATGTGTCTGGTACTTTATGAGGTCAGAAGAGGTCATCAGATCTCCTGGAACTTGCATTAAAGATGGCTGTGAACTGCTATGTGGGAGCTGGGAATCAAACCTGGGTTTTCTACAAGAGCAGACAGTACTCTCAACAGCTGAGCCATCTCTCCAGCCCGAGAATTAGGTTTTCAAACCGAAGTATGCCAAAGCCTTGATGTTGGCAGCCAGCTCTGCTGTGCTCAGTCTGTAGAGGTGAGCCAGCTCTCGGTAGCACTTACCCATAAATTAAATACCTGAGAAGCCCACTGACATCTAGACTTTGAGAGTCGTTTTTCTGTTTCTTCTCAATCATTTGGGCCAGAAGGTTGCCAACGGCTGACAAAATGCCACTGTGGAGGAAGAGGCAATCAGAAATGAGTAACAGACACAAGGCATGCCTTTCCTGCATGGCAACAGCAGAGCTGTTATAAGATCTTGCTATGGATCAAGGAAAGAGTGAGTCTTCATTAAAGCAGCTTGCAGGTAAAGTTCCTGAAGATAGAGACAGTACGACCTAAAACCAAAATACAAATAAGCATAGTGACAGTTCCACCTGCTGGACAGCATACCTCCAACATCCCCACTGCAGCTACACTGAAGGCACGGACATAAAAGCAATAAGAAGGATCTTCATGAGAATGCTTCTGTAGTTGACTATGGTCTGTGGACTATACACATCTATATGGGCTGACATCTATGTGTGATATTATATTGTAGTTTTTAAAATGTTTGAAATGGGACAGAAGTCATCTGGGATTTTTCTTTCTTTTGGTGAGAAAGGGAAGGTTTCAAAAAAAAAAGTCAGACAGATTCTAAAAGAGCTGTAACCCTTCTGTCGTATTTGTGTAAATTTATACTCCTGAAGTAAAACTCCTGGTAAAAAGACAGGGTCAGTTGCTTCTTAAAGTTGAGTCTTCTCTTAGTTTCTTTTCATGTGGCTGTGATAAGATGCCTGTCAAAGCCACCTAAGAGAGCAATGGTTATTTCAGTTCACAGTTAAGGGTACAGCCCATTGTGGCAGTGAAGTCAAGGCAGCAAGAGCACTTCGTCACAGCATGCCCACAATCAAGTACAGAGAGAATGAGCCGGGTATGGTGATGTACACCTTTAGTTCTTTAATCCCAGCATCCACAAGGCAGAGGCAGGCGAATCTCTGTGAGTTCTAGGCCAGCCTGGTCTACAGAGGAATTCCAGGACAACCAGAGTTACACAGAGAAACCACCTCAAAAAAAAAAAAAGAGAGAGAGAGAGAGAGAGAGAGAGAGACAGAGACAGAGACAGAGACACAGAAAGGGAGAAAGAGACAGAGACAAAGAGAAAATGTATGCTGCTCAGCTAGCTTCAGTCAAGGATCCCAGGCAGGAATGGTGCCACCCATAGTGGCAAGATAATCCCTTACAGGCATGCCCAAAGGCCCTTCTCCCAGATGATTCTAAATTTTATCAAGCTGACAACTGGCATTAACCATCACAGGTCTGTAAGCTGTCTTCTAAAAAAAACTGCAAAATCCCAAATTTTTTAGTGTGGATCATAGGGACCCTCTTGACCTGAGGCTTGGTTACCTCTTCCCCACCTACACAGTCCTCTTTACTCCTCCAACATGCCCTGCCCTCCTCCCTCAGAATTTCTGCACTCACTGTGCCCTCTGAACTACTGCTTCTCTTCTGTGTGCTTGTGATCAATGTCAACACAGGAGAAACTTCCCTGACTGCTCTAGGTTACATATTTATTTGCAACCCTCTCCCCCCCTTTTTTTTGTCTAGTTCTTCTCAGCTCCATGAGAGAAAAGGCCTACGAATGTCCAGCACACAGGAATTATTCTATACATACTTATGAAAGGCTAAATTAATAAGAGGACAAACCTACCAAATTCGCTAATAAAAATGAACAGAAACAGGAATATTTCATTAAGAAATCGATGTAGACCAAAGGTCAGAGCTTACCAGCAACAGTGCTTACCACTCAGGGTTTGAACGGTGTCCCTGGCTCCCTGGTCTTCACAACATTCAGACTGCAAGGGACTACTACTGCCTGAGACCCAATACACAAACAGCATTCACTGGCTAAGCAGAACTCTGGACGCACCTCGATGCAGGACTTTGCCTTTGGCGCCCACATTCCTCCACAGCAGTGGGTGTCAGCCTTCCTCACGCTGCGACCCTTTAATACAGTTCCTCCTGTGGTGGCCCCCGCCGCCCAACCATAAAGTTTCTTTCATTGCTACTCCATAACTGTAGTTTTGCTGCTGTTATGAACAGTAATGTAAAATAACTGATATACGACCCCTTGTGAAAGTGTCGCGTTCGACCCCCCAACAAGGGGTCACGGCCCACAGTCTGTAAATTATGCAGCTTGACCCGCGGGCGCCCCTCCCCTGTGGGCGCCCGTAGGGACCCACCTGCTGACCGCTTTGGTGAACACGGGATAGAGCTTCAGGAGCAGCAAGTACTGGGCGAGCGCTCGCCGCGGAAGCGAAGGGAGCTCGCATTCCGCCCGCAGCCTTGACGCGGCAGGTGCCATCGCCGT